GGTCACCTATCTGCTTTCGTGGGTGTCAGGCTGTTTTTCTGTTCTTAAAACCGCTCGCTCTCACTACCACTTTCCCACACTGTCAATCTCAATAATGAAATAGTTCCTCTAGTTCAATCAGAGCCAATCAGCCTCCACTTAAGTCTGTGCTCTCTGCTTGCGACACGCTTCCTCCCCCCATTTCCACCCCACCAACTTGCCACACCTGCAATAACACTGTTCCTATTGACAGACTCAAAGATGCTTTAATATCAAGGATTTGAACTGTTGCTACTACTGCAGCAGGAAATCTATGCAGTGGGTACATTGTAATCAAAATGTAACCACCCTGGAAATATAACAACACGTCTCAATAATAAGGAATAATAATCACAGTATCAACATAAGGACTAAAAACGAGAGATCGCCAAAATAGGCAGAATTGAGGTGAGGACGTGGAAAAACTTGAGGGATAAATACGTTTGCCTTTGAAAGAAAACTTTAGTTAGAATTAACATAAAAGGGACTTACTCCGTTTATCAGAGCCCTCTCCTGCCTGAGGATGTCTCTGACCATCAGTGCAAACTTCAGTGGCTGATGGTGATACAGTTCCTGTAAAATAAGCAAATAACACCACTAATTATAAGTATGCAATGCAATAATGAATGCAAATGATATCAAAGACAATGCATTCCTAACATGTATGTTGTAGCAGGTTTAAGGAAGTTTCTAAAGTTGTCATAAAGGCTACCAAGGTTTTTGCATTCTTCAGAAGCAACAAATGCTGCAGAAGGTTGAAAAATCTAAACAGGAATTTCTGCAAAGGTGAAATTTTATGGGTGATGGTAAAGCCCAAAAACTAAAATAAAATGTCACTTTCTTTTTTTAAAAAATGATAATTTCTTTGGCTTTATTACCATGTTCCTGCTCATCTGCATCAGCTTCATCTTCTCGACAACATTGGCATTCTGCTGAGCAACGGATTGCAGCATGCTGATACCCTGGTCCAACAGAATTTGAGCTTGACTCTCTTGCTCTATCTTTTCCTGTGAAAAGTCCTCCCTGTGAGAGCACACACACACACACACACACAGTCCCTTATGAATAAACACATGCAATATTTATTAAGAATAAACAAGCATGTACATGTACAGTATGTGTGTGCGTCATACCATCGTTGGTTCTCTATCCATTCAGATATGTAATGCCTGACTTCAATCGGGAAGGAGTTTGGTGGATAGAGGCTGCTGACTGTCTCATAAGGCAGATGCTGCAACATCTGGGTCATGTGCATCCACTGGGCCATGATCACGCAGGGCTAGGGAGTAAAAAGAAATGACATGTTTCTAAGCTTTCCCATGACCGTTTTTTTAAACACAGTGGAACTAAACAGCTCATCTTTCTGATTTAACAGCATATCAGCATTCAGGTGCTCCTTCATTCACCAGGTGACGCCACAGTCAGTAGTGTTTGATTTGATTTTTTACTCTAGATGTCCATCCTGACACAACCCCCAAGGGCGCTGTGCCTCCTCTGGGATCAGACTAGAGAGCTTTTCCTTGTTAGGCTAATGTGTTAACCACTACTTTATGGGTCCAGAGGGAGAAAGAATA